CGCACACACATCGATGCCTACATAGTATGTTTAATTAATAATTCAACTATTAGCAGATATAAAGTGATAAGGCTAGTTAATTAATATTCATGAGTTAGTTACTTTCTCCTTGTTGGTCATTTGCTAAAATAAATTTGCATAAATTTGCCTACTAATTTTTTGTTTATTGTTAATGCTGTAAAATGGAACTTAGATATATTTTAGATGCATAGCTGCTTATAACACGTGTATCATCTGGTATTTATTCGTCCGTCCCTGTATTTCTATGTATTTCTTTGTATTTGTTTGTAATTTTTGTGTACCCATTATTACATACATATGTGTGTGCGCGTACGTGCGTTTGAGCATGTGCGTGTGTGTAGGCGTGTGTGTGTGTGTGCGTGTGTGTGTGTGTGTGCGTATGTGTGTGTCATCTTTTGTATACATTTGCATATGCATAAGTGCACGTGCAAGGCGTGAATGTCTACACTGTATTAGGTGTATGTGGGGTAATGTAGTTCATTTTTTTTTAAATTTCTGTTCCCTGAACTGTTCATAAGAGTATTTTGCTTGCGTGGGGGCCCTGAAATGAACATTTTCCATTTCTTAATCACATTTCCAACATTTTCAACGTCATTATTCGGTAATCCATCAATTGCATTACATAACTACTAACTAGATCAAATTGCTGGATGGCTTAGTGGTTAAGGTGCTTGACACTAATGTTGCAGTGATCTGGTTTGAATGAAAAAAAATCTCACCTATATGCTCTGTGTGTGTGTGTTTGTGTTGTTGGTACTTCTAATTAATGAAGAATACTTGAGAACCATAATGTTATTACTATTTATTAATTATTGCTTAGTAATTATATGAAATTATGAATAGTAAAATATAAAATATAAAATTACACATACATATATTTATATACAAGTATACATATAAATATATATGTGTATATATATATATATATATATATATATATATATATATATATATATATCGCCTGCAAAATTTGACACTTGAATATTATTGTTATACCAATTATAAATAATAATAATTAATATTTTAACTTTCATTAACTTTTACTTTCAATTTTGTCATTGGTTGAGCTTGTATGAGAAAATCCTATCTTCATTGCAATGTCTTGTTTTTCAATAATAATTAATTAATGTTTAAACAAGATATTATCATCACCATTATTTTATGATAATTACGATTATTATTATTATTATTGTTATGTTGTTGTCGTTGTTGTTTGTTGTTGTAATAGTAGTAGTAGTAGTAGTAGTAGTAGTAGTAGTAGTAGTAGTAGTAGTAGTAGTAGTAGTAGTAGTAGTAGTAGTAGTAGTAGAAGTAGTAGTAGTAGTAGTAGTAGTAGTAGTAGTAGTAGTCGTAGTAGTAGTCGTAGTCGTAGTAGTAGTAGTAGTGTTAGTAGTTGTTGTTTTTGTGTTGTTGATGTGTTGTTGTGGTATTTAGCGACTTTCTTGTGTTGATTTTTTTTTCTATTTGAAATTTATTTAACCAAATAAAAAAATTACACAAATAACTGGCTAGACATTTGTTCGTGTGTTAACTTATAATAATAATAATAATAATAATAATAATAATAACGTGAACTCTCTTTTATTTCCAGAAAAAAAAGAAATATAGTAAAATGAGATAAGAGTCTAATTAAAACCTAATAAAAAAAATAAAAATAAAATTGAATTAAATTAAATTAAATTAATAATAATAATAATAAAATGATCCCAAAATATACGTGTGGTGAGTTAGGTTATTCGTGTATTATGGGTACGTATTCTGCATTGTGTTCTGGTCCGGCCTGGTGTTATTGCAATATTCAGGCAGTGTAAGTAAATGTAATGAAGTCTAAATCTCGTTACACATCCAAGCGTATACTAATGTGAGACATTATATACCAAGAGAAACATACAAACAAACATATACAAACGTACAGATACATACAAAATATACAAATATACAGACGCTAAAAGGTTTGCATATATACAAACTTGCAATCATGAAATCATACAAAAAACGAACATGATAAAGGCATGTATGTATTCATGTGTGTATCTATATATGTGTATGTATATATGTATGTATGTATGAATGAATTCATGTGAGTTTGTTTGTTTGCATGTTTGTTTGTTTGTATGTTTGTTTGTATGTATGTTTGTTTGTTTGTTTGTATGTTTGTTTGTCTGTTTGTTTGTTTGTATGTTTGTTTGTTTGTTTGTTTGTCTGTTTGTATGTATGTATGTTTGTATGTTTGTTTGTATGTTTGTGTGTATGTTTGTTTGTTTGTTTGTATGTTTTATTTTGTCGCAGACATGCACATCGACGTCTTAATTGCCAGTTCGTCAGTGTGAACATGGTGATTTCGGTGTAGTAAAATTAGGCACTGGTGATAGTGATGATGATGATGATGGGGTGGTGGTGATGATGATGTTGATGGTTATGATGATTATGATGATGATGACGATGATGTTAGTACTGGTGATGATGATGATGAAAATTTTGTATGGTTTTTCAATAGAGAAATTTTTCACAAGTAGTTATAACAGAAGTACACATATTTGAAGTAGTAGTAGCTTAGTAGTAGTAGTAGTGGTAGTAGTAGTAGTAGTAGTAGTAGTAGTAGTAGTAGTAGTAGTAGTAGTAGTAGCAGCGGTAGTAGTCCTTCATTCTCCATTTCTTTTCCAACAATTTTCTGTCAATATGTATTTACTTTTTCTACTAATCTATTTCGCTTTTTATTCTTTCTCTCCCTCTCCCTCTCTCTCTTTTCATTTTTCTTTCTCCATATCTCTCTCTTTTTCTCTCTCTCTCTTCCTTCTCCATCTCTCTCTCTCTCCTCTCTCTCTGCTTTTCAGCAACTCTCTGTCATGATGATGTTGTGTAAGTATGAAATAGGATAAATTTAAGTAGCTTACGTGTAAATTTGAAGAAGTTTGACTAGGTTTGTATTAAAGTTTGTCTGTCTGTCTGTCTGTTTGTATGAAGGTATGTATGTATAAATGTATGTATAAATGTATGTGTGATTGTTTGTTCGCTTGTAAGCGTGTGTGTGCGTGGAGAATTCAGTAACATCTTATGAAAAATATGTCATGACGAATGACTCCTAATAGATATTATGAAATAGAAAATTATTTATCTGCCATCTACCTATCTTTCATTTATTCTTTCATTAACCCGTCCAACTATCCATCTATCTAACTTTGATTTTTTTTATCCATCCAGCTGTCCATCCATAATATTATCATTCATCCATTGAATTATTTATCAATTCATGCATCTAAAAATTCACCAATTCATCGTTTTTCTAATTATCGATCATCCGTCTATCATTTTATTCATCCATTACTTTAATAATTCATCATTTTATTCATCCTGGTTTCTAACAGTTCATCCATCAATCCATCCATTTTTAAATCATCACACTAATCCATCCGACTGCATAGTGTATCTTCACTTCATCCATCCATTCATTCATTTCAAACATTCATACATCCATCTTTCCACCATCCATCCATCTTTCTACCATCCATTCGTTTTTCCACCATCCATCCATCCATCCATCGTTCATCGCATTCCTCCATTTGTAGATTACTAAGTATTAATAAAATAGGCTCAGCCATGTAATGTTATTAAAGCCTGGTTGTGGTTATACGTTTTGACGTGTCGAGAATAATTTTATTTTTATTATTCATCTATCAATCTATCTATAAAAAACCGAATAAACGAATGAATGAATGAATGAATAAAGGAATGAATGAAGGAATGAAAGAATAAACGGATATCTGGGTAAGTGAAAATATGAATGGATGTATGAATGAATTGATAATTGAGTATATATTAACTCAGAAAATTCATCCAACATCTCGAAAGTTTATTCCCATGATCATTCATTCATTCATTCATTCATTCATTCATTCATTCATTCATTCATTCATTCATTCATTCATTCATTTTTTATTCATTTTTTCTTTCCTCCTTCATTCCATTTGTTCGTCCGTACGTCCATCCGTTCACTCATTCATTCAGGAAAGATTCTCGAATTTTCGTTCTGGTAATTGGATTGGTCGGTAGGTAGGTAGTAAGAGATGATGATGTTGATGATGATGATGACGACGATGATGATGATGACGATGATGATGATGATGACGATGGTGACAAAGATGAAAAATAATAAAAAAAAATGCTTATGATGCTTTCACAACAATAATAATTTCGTTTATCATTGATTCGTAATTCGTTTATTTATACATACACGCACACACACACACACGCACACACATGTACACAAACAAACAAATACATACACATATATAAAGAAACATATAGACACATACAAACACATGTGCATACGTAATTCTCTGCATACATGACATTAGAAAACATTAGATACCATATTTGCCATTCATTTGCTTGTGTCATAAAATATAAAATACATAAACATGTATGTTTGTTTGTGTGTGTGTGTGTGTGTGAGTGTGTGCGTGTGGCCTAATTGTTTTTAGATCGATCGTTAGCAATTAGTTCGCTGTTTGTCAAATTTTGATTTCCAAAAATATATTAAATATTGCATCGCTTGTTCGTTTGTGTGTCCTTGTGTGTGCGTGCGTGTGTGTGCGTGCGTGTGTGTGTGTGTGTATGTGTGAGAATGTGTATGTACGTGTGAGTGTGTGTGTGTGGGTATGTATATGGTGGTGGGATTGGTTGGTGGGATAGTTTTGAGAATTAATTAAGGGAAATGTAAAAATAATAAATAAAAATTATCCTATGTATAATTCCTACTAATATTGCTAGAGTGACCTACCAAATTATTCACTGAATATTTTATTGTCCATTTGATAACTTGTCGTTAGCGTGTTTTGCATTTTCAGGTATTTGTTCAGATTTAACTTCGTTGGTTTTGTTGGCTTTTTGTTAAGACTAGTGTTGATACAACAACAACTTCTACTGCTATTACGAAAACTATTACTTCGAAAACTAATGGTATTAGTAGTACTGTTACC